CCACCCATCAGGACAGCGTTTGTCCATAGCGCTGCGGCCAAAAACATGACGCAAAAGTGACAGCATTACAGTTGTTTTGGGTGTTCGGTGGAACATCCGAGCCAGCCCATAGCCCGGCCCCTCCCCTTCCCCGGACATTAGTCGCCGCGCGTTTGCTTGCTTGATCTCGCGTGTTTATGTTCTCGGGTAGCGCGTGGGCCTCTGGGAGGCGGCGTGCTGCCGGTCGGAAGATGCTCCGCGGGCGGCGGACTTCCGCAGCGACGCCGCACGGTCGTCGCACGGATCAAAGTGGGGTTGGTGCACGCTGCCCGGCTCGTGGCAAGGATCAGAGCGGGTTTGGTGCACGCTGCCCAGCTCGTCGCACGGGTCAGAGCGGGTTTGGTGCACGCTGCCTGGTTCGTCGCACGGATCAGAGAGGATTTGGTGCGCGCTGCCCGGCTCGTGGCATGGATCAGAGCGGGCTTGGTGCACACTGCCCGGCTCGTGATACGGATCAGAGCGGGTTTGGTGCACAGAGAGTCGCCGGCGATTGCCGTTATACAGGACAATTGTTTCTGTGCGACGTCGTGTGACCCTCGGAGGCGTGGGTCCTTGTGACTGAGGAACTCCTACAGTACTGTTGGCTGTGCGGAACTTTGGGAGTTGTTTTTCATACATTAGTTTTCAATGGATTTTCATGTAATTTCAGAACCTAGACAACTTTTTGGTACAATTAAAAACAGAATTTGTGAAACCCCCTGCTTTCTTGTGTTTGTACTTTCGGGTTCGTTTCGGGTGCAGCTTTTCTGGAAAGTTGTTTTTAAGGCGAAACTAGCCTTAAGAAAAAGAACGCTCTTACTTCCCACTTCACACCATATGTATCTATTAAACGTTTCAACCACAATGGGCTGTAACCTTGTGCGAACTGTGAATTCGCCCGGCAGTAAAGCCTGCCAGCCCCGCCCGGTTGGGGGGGGGGGGGGGGGGAGCGAGCTCCGTCCGTCACGCGCCAATGAGTCGGCTCGCTGCACCATTCGGGAAGCAGCCCGGCGGGCGGTGGCGCGAGAGTGATAGGTCAGTACCGCGACTGTTCCAGCACGTCCATATCTCAGGTCACGGGTGGTGGCGCTTACAAGCTGGTTGGCCCGGAGCCTCGCTCACACCGGGACAGGCATTTCGCGAACAAGGAGGCTGCGACAGATTGTCTGATGACCCGTGGAAAAAACGGTGGAATGTTGTCGTTATTCATAGGTCAGGGGTCTCTTGGCGGGTTTGCGTTGTGTCGCTTGAACAACAAATGCCGTAGCCACGAATTGTTTGACTGTGCTGTCAAGTAGAACAAAGGCATGTCTCTCTCCCCATGCTGATGCTGCACATAATGCGAGACTAATGGACACATCAATGATTTGTTACGTGACAATACCTTTCACTAACCGGGAAGAACGAATAAAACCGCGACAACCTAAGCCGTGCCAAACATACAGAATACACCTAAACACCCAGGCAGTGCCACAGCGTCGTTGCAGCGTTCCGTTACAGAGCCACACCGCATTCCGTGCAGTACCGCAGCCACCGAATCATCGGCCGGTGTCGAATGGCGCCCGACGGACGGGCGGCGCGGTGGACACTTGGGCCCGTCGGCCAGCGACGGGGGCACGCCGCCCCAGCTTGGCCGACCGCCGAGCGCAGGAATAGGCACGGCGGCCGCGTGCCCCGCCGGCCCGTGCGTGGCGATCACGCTCTCTGAGGCCGCCGCCCAGGGTCGACTTACCTGGCGCGCTCCGGCGATCGCCGATGCCGCCCGCGACCCCGGTCGCAGCGCCGCCGACCCCCGCACCGCGCGCCGCCGCCGACTGCTCGCAACGCCGCAAACGGGAAAGATCACCGCCGAGCAAAAATAACGCGCCGGTGGCCGGCGAGGTGCAACTGGGCGGCCACCTGGCGGGCCGCGGGACGGCGAGTGGGGCAGCGGCGCGGCGTGGCGCCCGACGGCCGCGCGGGTGACGTCGGCCCTCCGCCGCCGATGTCGCCGGTGAAGTCCAGAGGTGGGGCGCCCGGCCATGGGGAAGGTAGCGAGGCAGCGCTCCGGAGCTGTTCGGAAGGGGAGCGTGGTTGACGTCTCGTGAGGTGAAAATGGTGGATGTGAGAGCCTTTGGGGAAATGTGAAATAAAGTAGCTCAAAAAAGCCGTAGTAGCTCAGGCTTGTTTTTCGTCGATTATTTCAAAGAAGCGGTAGATGCTCACGAAACGCGTTCGCTCCATCTCATGCAGAACCTTCGTGCGCCCGGTATTGCTATTTAAGCAACTAGTTTTGTATCCACAGACACGCGAGTTTGGGTATTCGTGAATGGGCTACCTGTTTGGCTGATCGCGTCGACTTTAATTTGTCCGTGATTAACACACATCGTGTTCTTCTACAGCACACTTTGATTTATTATGGAACAACAGGTTTTATGGCTAGTGGCGGAACGTAGTTCTTTTTTGCAACCCGATAACGACGTGATTTTCATCGTATGGTTAACCTCAGCAAGAAATACGACGTTTAGCGCATATTCGAAAGTGATTGTAAAAGAAACCCGATCATAGCGTAGTTGTGTGACTTGACATTGGCATAAATGTGTCGACATGTCGCCGTCTGGTGCGCCATATTTGTGTCAACGGATTCAGAGGCATGGAGTCAGTATATGACGCACCTAGCCGCAGCTGATATAGCTTATCCACTCCACCCTGGGAAAGTGGATGAGTTATATCATGTCCAACTTGTAGCAGGGTGATTTATGATAATTTATGCGACAGATATCAGTCTTAGCCACTCAACTGATGCAGAGCTGCGCCCTCTTTCTATAAGTGTACATCCAGCTGCCGCGCACGTGGCTTAGTGTGAGCGCGACGGAAACGTTTTTATATCGTTATATCATATCTTTTTCGTATTGTTATGAGCTATTGCGATCGGCCGGCATGTGTTTTAAGTCTGGCGTCCCGTTTTCACGATGGATTAATGCAATGAAAAGTTGAAGGTATTTGATGTTTCTATGAATTTGCTATACATTCCGAACACTCCAACAAGAAAATGCTTGTTTTCATGTAGTTTCAATGACATTAAACATCCGACTAGTAACGGACTTATTATGTCAACGGGACACTTACAGACCTTTTTAGCAATCCATGGGTTTAGTTCACCCAAGCCCTAGGAAAGTACGAGGCCTAGCACACAGCCGTGTAGATCTGTCGAGAGTGTTGGATCGTGGCTACACGGTCATTGGGGAAACATTGGTGCCATGTGGAAGAAGACCGGTTTGGAGGATCATCTAATCCAAGGTTCATTTATCGCGGATCGTGTGTATGTGTAAAAGTTCTTTAATCCTCCATTTCTATAAACGGGGACATGGCCAGGATATTAGAGCTTGTGGTGTTGCGTCTGTGATAGTCATGCCACGATTTTTTTAAGTTTTGAAAAACTCCGATGGGAATAGATCTAGAGCCATACCTGTACATATCTTCTCCAGCTATAACACAATTTACGCAGCGGTGTGGCAGATTATTTGCTTCGAAGGTAGGCCATTGGGAACCCATATGCCAAAAAGAGCGAATGTGTCACACATGGAGCTAATCTTCGGGATATCGTCCTCATGTGGTGTGTAATATGTGCACAACGTCTGACCAGTTACCTTTCTGGCGGCCATCACGCGTTCTTGGGGCCTGGAGAGGCTGAATGGTGTTTGGCTCTGCGATGCGCCGTAATAGAAAGTCTTTCCTCGGAACTGATTGGATTGGAACCGGGGTTTTCTTATTGTGAGGCCAGCACCCGACCAGCTGTGCTAAACGGAGAGAATGGGTTATTTGGTAGGCACTGGGCTGGCAATCAAACTCGTTTTGGATTGCAGCAATTCAAGGAGAGAACTGGGGTTGTGACGCATGCATTGCTGAAAGCCGGACACCACAGTCTCAGGACTCTTCAACACCTACGATGACCGGCAGATAACTGGTCGATACTTCGTGCACATACCAATGCACCAGACTAGGGCAATGTTACCAACGATTATGATATCGGTCACCTAATGGTTCGTCTCAATGCTTCCGTAGCACCATAGCGAGTACTTTCTCAAAAATGTTCCACTACAGATGTAGCTGAAGGTTTTAGCGGTCTGCAGATATAAGCATTTCATTCATATCCTCAGTACTTATGGCATGAGAGAGGTCTAAGTAAAAACTGATTCAAATCTCCCTCCTCTCTCCCAATGCAATGGCGAGATGCAGACGAGACATGACATGGAGAGACCTTAGCCCTCCATTTCTTTAACGCCTCATGGCTGCTTTTTCTTAGGGTCAGGGTTTGCATTGTAGAAAATCTGCTAAGTGGGGATCTTTCGACCAAGAAATGCTAGAATAGTCTTTCTTTGATGAAAGGTGGTGTGTCTGCTGTCACACTCACCATTTTCCAGTTTCATTCATGCTAGTGGTAGATGGAGGATAACACTATTTGTAAGAGCAGCATTGGAAAGACCAAGAGGTGTTGTGACATACTGTGGACAATCAACTACGTGTGGAGATGGTCGACAATGACCGTAACACATTAAGAATACTATCAATGGGAATTCAGAGACAAATTCACGTATTTCCAAGAAAAGAAATGTTGCTCTAAGTCAGTTTTCTGTCCTTCTGCTCCCCAGTACATTATTTATTGCACTGTGTGAAAACGCACTCTACTCGAGGGATCAAAAACACAAAACGCACCAACTTCTGTGCGAGAAATTCGGCCATGCCTTAACGGGACAACGTACTCGTTGAGAACATATAGTGGCTATCGCAACCATGCGTGGTTTTACATCATGGTATAGTGCAACGAATCGATTATTTGCGAAATGCGCGTCATTACGGCGCTCTTCCTTTTGTGGATGAGCAAGGATGGATGCTTCGACTTTGCACCCAACGTGTTCCCAAAAGTATCCAAAGGACTCGGTGACAGTTTTTATCAAGACTCATGGAAACCACCAACACCCTGGTTCAATTTCGAAAATTTCACCAGACGACGAAGAGAGGTATATGATTCTGGTAATTCCCCGTTTTTACTAAGTGACCCTGCCATTTATAATAAAGGTTGAAAAGTTGTCCTAAAATACGTGGATTGCTTAAAGGTGTTGCTGATCCTTACGCTATTTAACAATCATGCAAAGTTGGTATGGATGGCAAGATACTTTGGTGTGACTGCTCTATCATCTCACCAGTAATTTCTCTACAATGCCAGGTGGAGGCCAAGTCAGTCAGACAAAGGAACTTAAATCGCCGCATCGCTGGAAGACTTAATAGACGGTATGTGCCTAATGACTAAATCACGTGCACTTTGTATGCGTGCTCCTGACAATACTTCAGACATAAAACTAACAATGCGTGACCGTTTTGTATTTAATAGATAGATACCACACGTTGAGTTCTGACATTCGTATCATATAAGCACCATGCGTGTGGTTTAGGCCAGGAAAAAGCCACGCTTACAGCGCCATTTGCATTATTCATTCTTGTGTTTTGCTGACAAGTTTGCCAGCCTTACGCCTCTGATATAAGTATATCACACACCTGTAGGTGACCACACCCGCATTGTTCACGTGGTACAGTTTAATTTCGTGATATTTATAATTTGCGCACTAAATGATCTTTAATACTTGGCCTTGAAGCATAGCACTCAATGACAATATCAATTGAGAAAACCGCGAAATGAATTCCGGCAGTTGGACAGCTTGAAAGAGCATTATCCAACATTTCACCCGAGCCGGCTTGGTTCCAGGGACTGTTGAGTTTAACTACGCTTGAAAGTTTTGGATTCACATTCAATGTTGACAAACACTGCTTTATAGCATAGCCTAATGTTATAAGCCGTGTTGTCAAACACTGCATTACAACATAGTCCAATGTTATAAGCAGTGTTGCCAAACACTGCCTTATAACATAGTCTAGTGTCATAACCCACCATTCATGCATGTTGCATATCTGATGATTGGTATTTGACTATCCAGATAAGTTTTCTGGCCATTCTAATTGAATTATGGCTTATAACCGACAGAACAGACGTGGGTGGTGACACCGCGCTTGCTTCTGTAGAACGTTGTGAACCTTAACACAATTTGAGCATGTCTTTGTTCTACAAAACCTCCACGCAAATGCCATGACAATTACAAACACTAACATGTCGCTACTTTGTGACTAACTTGGTGTCTTTACATATTATGAAACGTTTCCTGCGTAACGGGTATTTGTGTTATTCAGTTTGGATATTCCGTCGTTGACCTGACGAAATCACTCAGCAAACCTTTTACACACCTCGACGTTTTTTGAGTGATGGGTTTGTGAGCCCGACTACACCGAATGAAAGGCGGCTGGGCCCCTGACCCTCCCGCTGTCTGCAGTGACACGGTCATCGACACTGAGGACGACCTGACCGTGGCGTCGGCAGCAGTGGGTCCCGTGTCCTCCGGCAACCTCAAACCGGTGACTCTCGTCGTGTTTGTAACGGGGGTGAGTAAGCCGCCGCGCTCGGTCGCCGACTGCCGAGACTGTGACGGTCTCGCCTGTGGTCAGCTCGCTCCGCGCTGCGGTTGTAACACCACGAGCCAACGCCAGAGCATAGACCTCCGATGCGTGTTTCGTGATTAAGGAGGTGATGTAGGGTTTGGTGACATGCATTGCAAGGTGAAGGTAATGAAAGCATCAAAAACCTTGGCTGTCCTTCATTTGATTTGCATTCGAATGTGACTGCACGCCTGTGGGTGGCAGACCCTCTGACGTCGTGGAGCAAGTCAGCTTTCAGTGAGGACCGCCTCCTCGGTCCCTCAGAACGGCTCCGTGGTGAACCGCGGCGACAATGGCCTGCTGGGCCAGCTGGTGGCGCAGGACGGCAACGGGCAACCTGGCGGCGGGCCTGGCCGAGCTGCAGCTGCCCGGCCACGGCGTCACCGGGCCCGTGTACGAGCTGGTGGGGCCGGCATCAGGCTGCAGCAGCCGCCCGGCACGCCGGCGCCGCCGCCGCCGCCGCCGCCGCCGCCGCGCCCGCGAGCCGGCGCCGGCGCGCCAACTCCAGCGCCGTCGGCGAGGTCACCGTCAACATCCAGCACAGTGAGGCCCGGCGGCCGGCCGAGCGGCCAGGCAGGCGCGCAGAGGGTGATGCGTGGGAGAGATGGTGGGCGGACACCAACGGCAAATGCGGGTGGACATTGCGCAGAGTGTGGTTTCTTCCAGACAAACAGCTTTGCCTACGGATGTTTCAGCCACGTAGGTCCTAGCGTTACACGAAGCCACAGCACCGTTGCGCCTGTGTGATGTCTATCATTCTGTACAGTTGCCAGCTTTTTATTGTTTGTGCCGATAAGACGGCAGACAATGCCTTAAGCAATGCACATGCTTGCCGTGACCGAATATACCTAGCACTGCTAGATTACAAGTTCAAATTATTTCCCAAAGCCACGGCTACCTTCTCGGCAAAGCACATTATTGAAGAACCATCTATGTTATTTTGCTCACACATTGGGCTCTTTGTGGTGACGTCACTGTGCCAAAACCGAGGGCAACGTACGCATGGTCCCTTGGGCGTGTCGTAGCGACCAAAATGAGGCCATTTACAATGTCCATGTGCGGAGTGTCAGCTGTTAGCCTGCCGTGGCCGACGTGTCAAGCAAGCGGAGACTGCAATGCCGGGGGTCTATCCTTGCGATTTAAGATTGCTTGTGCGCATGTCTTGAAACACAAGGCGCACGCACGAGCCAGAAAAAGCTCATGAGCACCTTTCGCATCGCTCTTTTCTATGCTAAAGCTTCTCCAGCCTGGCGCCCTTCCCCCGCCCCCTCTCTCGCACCGCCTGAATTTATTTGCTGATTCAATTATTATGCTTAATATGAATCACATTTAACCGAAAAATTATAAGGTTAATGCTCGCGCGAAGAGCCGAAAACTTTTTACAAAATGTTGATTTTTATCAATATTTCATCGTATTTTCTATGGCATGGCGGTAGCGTGAAACACCCCTAAAACTGCTTTGGCCACATTCTGCGCACGACTATTTGGCTCTTTTTTTCCACTTGTTCAAGAAGCGTGTACATTCCATTCTCCAAGCCATTGCATTGAACGTGACCAATTCAATCAAGAGTGTTAAAAACCAGTGCCAGAGCAGGTACATCAGTCAACTGAAGCAAAGGTAACCGGCTTATGTGTTTTTTCCTCGCAGCGAACCAAAACAAACAGCCGAAAAAGAAGCTGCGCCACTGGTGTGATCTCTCCGGGGTGTGGATCAACGACGAGGGCTCGCTGCTGATGACGCTCGGCTTCCCCTCCAGCGACAAGACCCTGCTGACCGGCTACCTGAGCCAGGTGTCGGTCGACATGACGCCACAGGACGACGACAATGCGCGGCGGCGGCGGCGACGGCGGCGCCACACCCGACCGGCGCCGGCGGCGGCAGCGGCGGCACCGACGCCGGCGCCGGCTGCCGCGCCGGACCCTGCTCGACGTCGTGTCGCAGGTCGAGCAGCCCCACTTCCCGCCGCCGCCGGCCGGTACGTCGGGCATCCCCGGCGTCGCTCACCAACCGGACCGTGCTGCAGGGCTCGTCGGTGACGCGGGCAGGCCCGTTCAGCCTGGCCACCCGCCACGGCGGCAGCGCGGTCGGCAGCATGGTGGGCCAGTGCCAGGTGTGCGGCGGCCTCGACACGATCGTGGCGCAGTTTATCTCCGTGTCCGAGGTGTTCGCCTGCATCGAGGCGCTCTGGAGCCAGAAGTCGGTGCGCTTCATGTTCAGGAAATGGGGCGAGCGGCACCGGCGCCGCCATCACCGCCGGCCCGCAGCTGCTGGAGACGGAGGTGGTCATCAAGCAGCACGACCGCAGCAAGAGCCGCCGACGCCACCGCCAGCGGCGGCGCCCGCAGGAGACGCTCCAGATGCACGAGGAGGTGGTGGAGAAGTTCAGCCGACGCTGAGGCGCTGCCGAAAATAGCGCCGGAGGAGGCCGGCGGTGGGCGGCCAGCGTGAGCTGTGCTCTCGCCAGAGATATGCAAGGCACGCTGAGCACTGAGGAACCCGTTCCGGGCTTGCTCGCGGAGTTCTCGCCTGGCGACCGAAGAACAAGTCAATGGTCAGGAGTCAAGGCCACCGCAAGCAGCGACATCTGGAGGAGCAATGCGTTTCTTCAAATGAATAGAAGGCGATCGGTTCACTGAACCTGAATGGCCTCATTAGACCTTAGATGCAGGTCATGTTCGCAGCTGGTGTGTTTTGTCCTTGCAAACATGAAATAAAGTATGGTGTTTTAGGATGTGTATGACTGCCTTGGCGACGAACCGTATTTTACTAGCCAACGCTTCGCCATCACTAGTTTAGCCGGTACTTACGGACGGACACCGCCACAAAAGCTCGAGGAGACTTCCTTCTTACAGCTTTCCCTACAGCGGAAATAGCCTTCACACAACAACATCCGCATCGCCGACGATGCACCGTCTCGACGTTTCGAGCTCCAGACAAAAGACAGCTGGCGCTATGTCTTGCTCGCCAGACTTCGTACAAAGCAGCCGGCGCACGCTCTGGACGCCTGTGTGGGGTGAGAATGACGCGATAACGGCGCTTAAAAGCGATCAACAAGAGTTCATGATGCTGTATTTCGTACAAGCGCTCATAAATGATATATTTCGCGTCCTTCATGCGTACAGATATTTTGATCCGAGTTGGGCTGGATTCATTATCACGCGCTCGGATGGGGGTCGGATTGATTCCTGAAGGTTTTTCCGGGCTGAGAATTGAATAGCGGATCGTTTGATGCAAACAAATTAGATGTACCTTAAAAGATCGCTGAACCAGGTCAACACTTTGTGCTTAGGAACATACCACTTAGCATAATCCCTGGCGCTTATTCGAATGACAAAATAGCAGCAATCTTGTAGATCAGTTGTTACCTTGACCTACTAAAGGTAAAAAAGGTCACTGACCTGATTTATCTTTTGCTTAGAGGAGATATTTAGCTTCACGGCGGTTGCGTGAGGAGGTCTTTGGCACTTGAGACACCAATCTGGTCATGACCTAGGTCATGATCAGACCAGGTTATGACCATGACCTGGTCATGACCATCAAGTTCATAATCTAGAAATATTAAATTTTAACACGAGTAATCTCACGTCAGCTCAATTTACCATGGTAATTTGGTCTTGAGCTATCTTAATTTCGAGACCTTGGGGGGAGGGGTCAAATTGAACCCCCACCCGAGCGAAGGGCATTCAGTCGGCCACCTGGGCGCGTGTTAACGCCACCGACCGGCTGGTCACGGACGCCGCACCTGCTGGGCTAATCGATCACAAGTCCATCCTCCAGAGGTCACCAAACTTTGAACTAGAACTGCGCACGGAATTGCTCCGTTTTATGTGCCATCGGCTCGTGTTTGCGTGCAAAGTTCGAAAGTGTACGAAAATTGTGATTTAACTTACCACGTTGCATGTATGGGCTTGCACCATTATCCATGAAGCAAGCAGCCTGGAAATCCACGCTGTAACAGCACGGCCAGTCATGGCACCAGCTTCAAAGCCTTCAGTTCCAACTGACCCAAGCATCCAACAGGTCAAGTTAGGTCAAATATTTTTTATGACCAAAAAGGAGCTGCATATTGGTTAAAAACCAGTGAAATTTGTCATCTAACGGTGATCTTTTGCTCTATATATGATCACATCTTTTGTTTGATATTAACGCCAGATCGGTTGGGTAGGGTGAGTTTGAGCCCCCGAAGCTTTTCCAAAATAACTTGCAAAAAGCGTGGCACAGCCTTTCAAAACTTGGTATAAATCTAAACAATTGAAAGGCCAAGCCTTTGACATGCACAAATCATACATGGCTTGTAAGGTTGCTGACCTTTGGTAGGTCAAAGCCAGCCCATGGTTGTCACCGAAGAAATCTTTTAAGGGAACCATTCAACGTGTGACAACATAGTGTTACACGGTATCCACCAACTTCGAGATGGCTTTTTAGACAATTGCACCATTGACAGGATTATGCCTAATTCTTAGACATTAGGTTATATATGTAGGTTATATCAAGGTAAAATATAAAGCATTTTATGACCGAATGGTTCATGAGATAGTTTGGACGCTCATTTCAAATTCCTGGTTTACAACAAAGTCAAGATATTTCTTATTTTGACTTCATAAAGGTCAGGGAAATGTGACCGCGATCAAGGTTTTGTTCTAAGGAGCATGTCACCTACGGTATTACTTGTCGCCGAATGCAAACTGAAACATCAAAACAATCGCAAAGCTCCCTTCTATGTTCCAAAAGCAAATAAGATGACTGAAATAACAGGTGACAGTTTTGCCCATGAGGGGTTATTATTAGGTTAAACCAGCTTGCTTAAAGAGATATGAAAGCACTGCATTACCCATGTGGGGTGACTTCAGTTTATCTCATTTGACCCGAAGGTCGCAACCTATGGAGCTTGAAATGACACAAGTGAGGTCTAGTCCTAGA